TGCCCAGGATTTCCTGTCGTTGGGCGATATATATATATATATATATACATACATAAGGTATACATATATACGCATATTCCTCTATCGAGCTAGACATTCGGACGCCTTTAACTTGGCACAAACATATATATTTTAAAGAAATATGGTTCTTTACACTATATCTGCATTCACACACTTCAGGCCTACCAAATAATATTTATGAGACTAGCTAGATTATAGCATACGTAAAGTGTGTATGTGACGTGGACTATCCCAAGGGTTTTTAGCAATCTAGCATCCAAGCCTAAGGATTGGTCCTTGATGTTGAACTGCATTTTTGATACTACCTAATATTGTCAAAACTTACAACCCTGGAAGAGACGTTTTTGAGTACTTTAAATCGAGGCGAGACATGCTGCACACTGGCCTGCGCTTTATGAGGAGACTGAGTGCCTCTCGAAGCGCCTCAATTTGAAACTCGTGATGGTACAGTTCTTGCAATACCTTCAGACCATTACATATGTGGGTCTGGAGGACAACAGACACCCGGATGCTTTCTAACTTCATTTGTATGCTGTTTGGGATTTCATTGTGCCCTCACTTTGCACCAACTTTTCAACATGTATATGCACTATTATACCATTCCTCTATTCTTTCATGTCTCTGTTTGTCCGCTTGTGTGTATGCTTCCTGTCGACGCGTCAAATGTGTGCTTGTGTATGCATGTATGTACACCAATCCTGACATTACTTTTGATCGGCTCAATCCTGACCTTGTAACAATGAAGCACCAGTGACCCGCTGCGACCTGGCGTCTCTCGAAGAGGCTTTGGAAAACATGGGTTCAGTTGCCTGGCGGCGCAGACCCAGCGCATTAAACTGAACCGGCTGGATCTGGACGCTTTCAGCAGGATTCCAGCATGCCCAAATGACGGTTTTTTCGTTTTACTCCTCTCATGCATGGCTGACTTTGGCTTCGAATTTGGTTTGTACTAAAACGTCTTCATTTTCATGCATACGAGAAATCATTCGGTCGACTTTTCTCAGCGTCATTTCGTGCTCTCTCGAATTCGGCCTTTGACTCTGTCCTCCGACGTGCTGACGATGGTGCCGAACTCTGCGTGCCCTCTTGTCATGTTCTACGCCTGTGCCTGCCTACCTACCGAGCCTTCGGCAAGTTAGGTAGGGGCACCCCGACCTCGACGTCTTTCAGCCATCAGCGCTCGCTATTCACTCCGGTCTGGCACTGATTTCACTCGTTCTGATATTCTCTTCTGGGGTTGGCCTCCTCGACCCCCCCTCCTCAGTTGGTGTAAACTTTTTATTTTACTTTTTTGTGATTTTTGTACTCATTCTTATCCTCTTGTTCCGGCAAAGAGTCTGTTTTAGCCATTCATCGGTATTCTGTGATCTCATTCTTCACGCCTTTTGTTGCAACCGCTACTGACATCCACTCATTCCTCGTTTTGGAGTACTTCACATGGCACAATGCTGTCTGAAGTCGATTTCTTCCGTCCCATTCGCATTCACTAGATAATGTACATGAAACGTACCTAAGGGGGTTCGCGGAGTACGCCACTCGTAGATGCGCTCACATTGCAAAATTCACCAAGCGGACAGCAGTATTACCTCAAATTCCCTTTTATTGATATTGTTTCGATTGGGGAAAACTCCGGTTTTATTTTTTTCCACCTTAAACATCGCGACCTCCTCTACATCCACAACAACAATTACCATTTTTCATAATGCCGACCAGTATTGGTGGTATCTGCAGAGCAATTATCTTTCTTTTATTTCATTACCACTGCGCATAGTACTTTGCCTCTGATAGTCCTCCACCTCAATCGTAATTTTTTTGTAAACTTCTTTGGCAAAATCATTTACGAGACGCCCATCACGCGTCTCGATGTACAAATATTTTATTATTGGCCCAAATATATTTGTTTCATTATACCTATTCGTGATTTACTGCTTGAGAAATGTTCTTTATCTACTCTATTTCCTCCGGACAGCGCAATTAGCCACGGAGAGCTCAGGGCAGCCATCGAGTGGACTCGAGGTTGACCCCACATCATGCCAGTTAGAGAAAAAAGTCAAGTGGGCCGAGTTTGAGCCCTGTCCGATGTGACTCCAATTGCCGGTCTTTATATTCGCCTCGCTAAAATCTGGTCATTTCAGGTCTGAGCGGCTATGGCTGGAGATCGGATCTCCATTTATTGTACATAAAGCGAAATGATACTTTGGCACGCCTGCAAAAGGAGATTTTGCGCTGGAGAATGCTTGATCGCCGCTCGAGTTGGGGTATTCGGTAGATTCGATGCAAAAATGATCCAGCGGCCCTGCCCTCATGACATGTTTGCGGCCAGCTTAGCTTGTCGTCGCGATTCTTCGTCCGGCCACTTCTCGTCTGTGCTGGACGCTGAGTTGCCAGTGCCAACTGCAAGAGCCTGAGACTGACGAGGGCGGGTCTGCGGGCACCCCCGTCGGCGCCTCAGTGACCTGTCGGAGGGGCAGGGTACTGACATGTCCCTTCCTTGTCGAGTCGTGCATTTGAGTCGACTAATTTGGCTCAGTCTGGCATATTTATCTCGACCTCAATCGGCTTTCATTAGCACGAAAGTCTTCGGTGCGCTCGGAGTTGGAAGACCTCATTCCCTCTCACAATTCGGCGTACATCTTTTCCATGCCGAATGACAGCCCGGCCGCCTTGGTTCAGCGGCATGGAGACCATGTACGCCTCGTGTACGGACGTTTCTGAGACAGAATCCCGGCGTCTGGTTATGTAGGAGCGGTATGTTCACACTATAATTGTGATTTAAGAGTAGTTTGGCTTGGCTTAACATTCACACATTGCCTTATAGTGACCCACTGCCATCCTCGTCGGCAAAAAGTCCACTATCAGCCTTTACATCAACATGGCCGGCCTAGGCTGGTAAAGTTGGTGTTTTGGAAGATGCTCGTGCAAAAGCAAGTCTCTAGTACGTAGGGTTGCATAAAAAGCTATGGAGCAAAAGACACATCTTATCCTTTGCTAAAGCCGGAAAAAGCATGATCAAGGCTGAACCTTGTATACTTGGCTCCGGACTCCAAACGCTGAGAATGAAGACCAGTCTCATCCGTGCTTGGATTAACACAGATCTTTGATACCAGAGACGGGGCTTCGGCACGACTTGTATCGTCAAACTCCCCAGTTGTTGGCCTCTAAGCTCAGAATAGCAAGGCATTATGATGTGTACGCATGTATCAGGCGCCTCATCCTGTATTTGACTCAATTTCCAGTTCAAACTCACTGGCTGTTCTAATGCCGTCATGGTAATATGTGGCTGCAGACAGTTGCTATTAGTAACAACCTCTAATTGATGTCACTGCTGACAGTTTTGTTTCGCAAGTGGCCCGGTTATTCCATAAGTGTATCACTTTTTACCGATTTTCATGCTGGCTTCACAGAGCTTTTGCTCACGATGAATTAAAAGGAATGTTTGATTTTTGCATTACATTCCGCCTTAACGGCCAACACCAGCGGATTCTAAATGAATTCGATTATCGCATAAAATAAAAGTACATGGAGCAACCTAAGCTCTCGAAAACCTAATCACTCACGAAAAAACCTAAGCTCTATATAAATAGTATAGAGGAACGATGCGTTTGTCTCTACAGAACCGCAGAACGGCCTTTTAAGATGACTGTTGGGATGAAACTCAATGCTAAGGTCAATTGTGAACAACCCTAAAAAGATCAGTCTGAACTGGACGCCCTAATAAGCAGACGAGTTCGTATTTATCATTAATTAAAATGACACTACTTATATGTGTGCTAGTAGTGCTTCGATAACTCCCCATGTCTTCAGGACCATAGACGTGTGAGTCGGAGGGCCGCACACATAGGGCTATGGCCCTCTTACATAGAGGCTGACAAGTTGGACGCTTAGACAGAATTCCGCAGTGATTATCTGTAAGTATATGAGGCATATTCACCCTATTTCGATTAACTTCCAGTTTCTATGTAGCCTCGGTCTTATCAAAACCCCAGCGGGAGTCGAACCATGACAGTTCAGCGTGTAATCTCGATATGTTAGTCACTATGCCACATTGCCATGAGTGCTATTTGGTCAGAGAGCAGATGGTAATTTCAAGAAAAGCTAGACATTTTTCTATATCACGCTCTTTGATTGGATTATTGAAGCAGCAAAGTTATATTTGCTATAACAATCGACTACACTACTTATTTTTCGTTTATAAATAAGCTTTCGAGGCTACCATTAAATCGGTTATGAGATGATGAATGCCTGGAACGAGATTTACTTAAAAATGCGTCCTTGATATGATGTCTCTTATATGACGTTTTCACCGGAATAGAAGGAGATGGCATAGGGGGTAGTGCCAACCAGAATATCTCGGAACCCTCCTTATGAACGAAAAATGAG